CCGACCCCCCCGGTCGGACTTGAACTTGAGACCCCCGGGGTTAGCTTGAACCCCCGCCCCCCATTAGACTTGAGGATCCCCCTGGTGAGGCTGAAATATCCAGGCTGGACTCGAGCACCCCCTCGATAGACTCAACACCCGCTGGTTAGACTGAAACACCCTGGTGAGACTCGAGGCTCCCGTGGTTGAGTTCAAAGCACCCCTTGGAAAACTCTTTGCTTTCATTGCTCTGACTGTGGAAAAGCCATAGGGCAGTTTTCCTTCTCAGGAAGACAACAGCAGGGCCAAGCGGCTTGAATGCCAGGGGCTCCTATTTGAAACCTCAGGGTTTAATGCGAGAATTATGATCCCACGACTAAGGATGCTAAGGTTGTCTGGCTACCCTCAAAAAGACCTGGAGGTTGAGAATCGCTGCTCTCCATCGGTATGGTAGTTAGTGTCAGAGCGAGGGTGGAGCTGGGATGGTTCAGCTATGCCAGAAGTAAGGGTGTCCAAGGGGAGTCTCTTCCATCGGAGCAACTGTGTCGTTGGGAGAAAGTTAGACTAGCTTCCAGCTGTTCCTCAGGTCTGCTTGAAAGCTGGTCTGCCTTTATCCCAACCACACAGAAGAGCTGCCCTGAAGAAATCCTTGCCTCTCACATGAGCTCCAAAGAGGACCAATATACGCCATGCCCACCTGACTTCAACGCCTAACTTTTGCAGCTGCACGTGCCGAGCAGGGGTGCAAATGCACACCTTCCTTCCAGACACCTCTGTACTGAGCTGTCCTCTCCATCTCCAGCAGGCTCCCTCCAGCAGACTGAATTATTGCAGGGACCTGTGAGAGAAGGAGGGCCGGTAGCAGAGGCCCCATGTTTCCACATTGGCAGGGGCAGTCTGGTACCAGGATTGCTTCAGAAGCCTGTAGGGAGGAGCAGCAGGAGGAAAAGCCTCCAACTGCATTTGCAAAATCCTGCATCCCCTTGTTTAAATCAAATGCCCCATAACCAGGCTGAGATAAACCACAGCGTCCCAGAACTGAGGTCTTCATTATACACGTGCTTTGGCTTGCCGACTGGAGGGAGAAACACCCCCTGCCTTGTAGTAGGGGGGAATCAAAAGACACTGCCCGAAACATTATTAACTACCCCATTACTGATGAGACAAGCAATTATTTTCCAATGTAGAAAAAGTTACCAGAGAAAGCAAGGCATACATTAGAAAATTAAGCTCCCCACCAATGGGATTCCTAGGCAAAGGAGCACAGCTGGTCCAACACTTTAATCCTCCTGGTGGGGTCACATAATTAATCATCCCTCGGAAAGGCAATTAAGAAAAGTGAACAGTTGATTAAGAGCAAACTCGAAGTCGGCACACAGGGTTTGTAAACTCCTAGGAGCTGGACTAGAGGTACGAGCAGAGGAGCTGCCTATGCAAGCAACTGCTGCATTTTAAAGATGAAAGCACAGTTTTCTGCTCTTATAAGAACTAATCTCAAATTAAGGTAAAACTGCTTTGTGAAAGGTCCAGAAGGAACACGAGATATCTACAGCTTCCAAGCAGATAATGGGAAAAGAGACTATAGGAAGGAACAACTCCAAGCAGTAGAGATAAGCAAATAAATTAGATCAACATTAGCCATCCTCTTCCAAGATCATTAATGATTTGAAGTAAACCAGTGCTGAAAAATAAACGGCAAAGCAAGGCAAAAGGAAATGCTGGATTTTAAAGCTAAAGGTTTGTACAAGCAGTTGCTAATTTGGGGCTATTTTTTTTTTTAATCCAGGGGGTGGGAATGGATGCATCCAAAATGAAGAACTCTTGGATTTAGGGCAGAACACCCAATCCTAGAGTATGCTGAATGCAACTTGTGAACTACCGAGAGAGCAGTCATGTCCTGCTCTGCAATACATAGGATTAGGTGCTAGAAGAGGAGGTATATCCAGCTGCCCGGTACTTAACATACACCATGCCCTTCATCTGAGCATCTTCAAGCATGCTAAAAACCTTATTTTCTCATCGCCACATTCCCTTTAGTGGACTACTTAGCACTTTTTATTTGAGGATTTCAGCACACTGGGTGAATAGTGAAGCCAGGGCACAGAGAGATGAACCCCTCACTCGGGCTAGAAGGAAGTTTTTTTTTGGGGGGGGAGGCAGGAATGGAGCCCCAGTTTCATTACTCTTACTGGGACATCTCCTGTAATGGGCCCCATCTGCAAATTCAATAACAGCTAGATTGGATTAGACCCAAGGTCAGTCTAAGGCTGTATCCCATCACCAATAAAGACCAGCACCTGATGCTTCAAAGAAGCTGTTATCTGTGTAAATGCCCAAGCCCTCTTTGAACTTTGCTGTACTGACCTCTTGGCTTAATGAAACCATTGCCTAGAGGCAGCCTTTTAAGTTAAACAGAGGGTCCTGAAGTGGACTAGATCCTTCTGTTTAGAACACACGCTACTGCTAAGAAATGTGAAAAGTGCCAAAATCTCCATCCTGGGGAAGTCTTGGTCAAACCCAGGCTCTTGAGCAGCAATAGTTCAGTCATACTGTCATCTACCTGGTCTTAAGTGAGCCCAGCTGGCCACCAACCTTGTCATGTTATAGGGCTCAAGTGCTGAGAAAGGACAGTCAAAATGGTAAAGGGAGGCACATCAGTGATACTGGATCAAGTTTGCTCCATTTATAAAGAAACCAAACAGGTCTCTCGCCCCTTTTGTGCATGTGCATGTGCTAACTGTTCATATTAGATTGAAGTTGGGTCCAGAGATTCAAGGTACAGCACAGGCAAGTTTGCCCTTAGCATGCTTACAGCTGTACAACTTTCACCCCCACCCACGAGAGCAGGGATTCAATCTTCAACTGGAAATCGCTTACCAGATTAAGTGAAGAGGAGAGGAATCCAGCTCAGTTTCTTAGCACTGAATTGGTTCTCATACCTACACAGAGCTGAAGGCGAGAAGCATCATCAGATCACAAGTCTGACTTAGACCCTATTCCTCTATATCAAGCCCAATAACTTTCCTTTCAATTAAGCATCATTTATGTAGGCTGTGCAGAACTCATGGAAATAAGGAGTAAAACAGGTAGTGCCACATATTGCTTATGCTGCCAACACACAGGTGCAGATCTGCTAGGCATGGAGTCGTCATTTTTCCATGTCACACTTGGCCCACGGGCAGGTCCACTCACTCATTCACAAGCCCTGGGACAAAGAAGGAGAACGTTTTCCAAGTCAATTGAGTTTTTCGAAGTTTACTTCTAACAAGAGCTTGGTTTTATTTCCTCTACAGACTTCCTTTTCTGGATGCATTGTCTAATAAAACTGAGAGCATTTAGGCCCTGGAGCTCCTGGTGGGTTTGGAATGCCTGGGCCAGACCCTTTATTACAAAGGCACCAGCTTGTGCTTTGTCTCTTGGAGGATGGCTTTACCAAGAGATTGAGAAGTCTTCCTAATCCAGCAGGAGCACACATGTTACTCTACACTAGAGAATTCAATTAACTTTAAGGTCAGACTGTACCTTCCCTGTAATCAAATGGCTTCAAAACCCTCACAAAGCCAGAACAGGTGTTTCATTCATGCTGTCTGTCTACCTGGCACGGGCCCAACTGCTTTCTTTTAAAGCCTAAACGCCATATTATTCAGAGGCACACTGGGAATGTACACATGTGTATCTGTCTCTTAGGCATGTTTAAAGCTTGCTCATCATTAGCTGCATGTTTTTCTTTGCTCAAATCAAACAGGAACAGCTGTTTTCATGTTAATAACTAAATCATAATTTACATTTATGCCGCAGAGCTCCCCTCAGCCAGAACAATCACAAAGGGCCTTGGGAACTTAATGAGCTGATATCTAAACAATATCTAGAGATCATTTCAACTGCTTCACCCCGTCTCTGGGGTGAAGCATATCAGCTGGTTCACACTGAGCAGCAGCACTACAAGCAAACAAAGTTTCGGATTGCTTTGAAACGATGGAGGGAACCGAGGTAGAGAGGACATAAGCATCTGAGCTGGACCCTAGCCAATGGCTGGAGTTAATACGGCATCTCTTACCCCAAGGGCCACAGGGCTAGCTGAGGAGAAGTGACAGGAGTCACTTCTACATCTCGTCTGCAAGATGACCTGTCCAGCCATTCATAGCTGGGGGCTGACTCAAGACTGACTCAGAGTAAAAGATTTCTCTGACTGTATCACCCACACTGTTCAGTGCCGGGAAACTTGTGCTCTTATTATAAATTCATTGCTTATTCAGGGTTTCAGAAGTACTTGTACCCTGTGGGCAGTCCCTGGGTAAGGCGGACCAGTGGACTTTGGACCAGATACCTTTGGAAGGAAGGAAGGAAGACAGACCATGGTAAATACTCACTGCCTTGATGTTCAGATACAACGCGCTCAGTGAGGCTTCGTAAATGTTCCTCGACAATCCCATCCTTCTGCTATTCTTCACACAAGGATGGCTCTGGGGAAAAATGACCCACTCAGTTGTCACCCTAGGAGTTTGTTTTCTTTGTCATTCAAGGCAGTAAGTGCCAAGCTCATAAGTGCCTACAGGGAGCGGATCGTGGAGGAAATTAGTAGTCAAGTAGGCTGTAAGCCTGAAAGAAACTCCCTGCATGGATATATCAGATGGTTGTATGGTTCCCCATCACCATGACACCTTCTGTCTTGGCAACTACATTTTCATCAGCAAATGAGTCCATTTACTTTGCAATCTAAGGCCTTGCCAACGCTACTCTTCATAGTAAAGTGAAGCAATACAAGCCTGTAATGTTACAAGAATAAAGCTAACTCAGCATGAAGAACCATTATTACCTGCTCAGAAATGCTCAGGGACAATCACTTTGCTCAGTTTGCATTTCAGTCCTTGCAAGCTGAGCAGATGCGCAATTGAATGCGAAAATCTATCAACTGCTGAACCTGAAGAGCGCTAGAAGTGAGGCGTTTTAAAAAGGGATCACGACTTCTAGACTTCTGCCTACAGTTTTATACACCTACATTTTTATCTACACTCAAATGTCTGCACAAGTGAAGTATTTGGCCAGGTTCATGTGCAGAACTCCAGCCAGCACCTCCAACATCAAATGTGCTGCATCCGACTCTGCACACAGAATTACTGAGCACATCAAACCATGGGTAAAATTTTAAGGGCCAGCTGGAAAAGTACGTCCAGTAGTCTTACGTCTGGATTTCTGAAAGCTGGAAAAAAATCCTAAAATATTGTATTTATAAATGAAACAGTGTTGGGATGATCCTTTGGGGTTTTAATGGCCGAAGAGCCAGAAAACATTTTGAATAAAAAACTTTTTAAAGAAGAAGAAACATCTATTCTTGATTAATTGTAAGGACTGCAGCTAGAAGCAGGCTTAGAGATCTTGCCACCCAGCCAAGTAATCCTGTTCAACTCAGTGGCACAAACACGTGTCAGAATACTCCTGTTCCTTTTTCTGATTTGCTTTATTATAATTTTTAAAAATATATACATTGAGCCAAATGGCAATGGGACCACGACCATGTTCCAAACATAAAGCCGCAGTGTTTTTGGCTCCCCAGCAGCTTCTCTGTTGGCTTGCATGCGTTTTCCCAGAAGTAATTAGAACCGTGGGGCTTCTGAAGGGTGCCAGCTGTTCCAGAGGTTCAATGCAATGTTTAAAAAATGTTAAAAATGAAGGGTTTCTCCATTCATCCCTTACAGAGCAGGTCTGGAATGTGGGAAGCAACTTTATGCCCAATGCATGGGAAGTACAGGATGAATGGCAGAGACTTGGCCTGAACTTCTCCAGTGACTACCTCAGGCCTGTGGCCTGAAAGTTCTCCCCAGGCAGTAGAAAGAACGGGTTGGGTTGACTTCAGAGAGTATCCTGAGAGGATTTAACTCAACATCCAGTGATCTACTCTTATCTATCTGCCTTATGGATTTATACTGCAGCCCATCATCATCATCATCAGATCCAGGGGCCTTTCTTCCACATATAAATGCAATAGCCAAGTTCCTTGTTCTATTCTTCATCTGGTAGATGCAAACTCTGCTTGATATACGGGGACTGTGTTTGGGTTTTTTTTTTCAGCTGAAGTCAGTATTTTGCAGGTGCTGAAGGGGGCCATTCAAGCAGTGTCAAGGTTGCTGCCCATGCTGCTTTCCCTCGTCTGTCCTCTCTCTGTACAGTACCTCTGTTTGAGTTGTCTGGACATATAAGGAACCCCTGACATAGGATGCACTGCAGGAACCCAGTGACCTCTGGTGCAGAGCAAAGGGATGCTTGAAGCGTTCCTCTTTGTGGCCATTTTTAGCAGTAAGCACAGAGCCCCTTGAAGACATGGGGCTGAAACCAGCCTAGATACGGCCATGCTGAAACACCCACAGGTGTGGCAGCAAAACAAAGGCAAAGCTGAGCAAATAGGAGAAAAAGAAAGGGAAGAAGCAGCTTTATGCATGGCTTATAGAATCGTAGAAAAGTGAGGCTTGGAAGGCACCTTAGGAGGTCACATCTAGTCCAACCCCCTGCTCAAAGCAGGACCAGCCCCAACTACATCATCCCAGCCAAGGCTTGGTCTAGCTGGGTTTTAAACACCTCCAAGGATGGAGAGTCCACCACCTCTCTGGGTAACCTGTTCCAGTGCTTTACTACCCTCCGAGTGAGGAATTTTTCCTAATATCCAACCTAAACTTCCCTTGCCGCAACTTGAGCCCATTGCTCCTTGCTCTGTCATCTGCCCCCACTGAGACCAGTCCAGCTCCATCCTCTGTGCAACCCCCCTGCAGGGAGTTGAAGGCTGTTATTGTTCTGTGCAACCCCCCTGCCCCTCTCAGTCTCTTCTTCTCTAGACTAAATAAGCCCAATTCCCTTAGTCTTTCCTTATAAGTCATGTCCTCCAACCTCCTCGCCATTTCTGTTGCCCTCTGCTGGACTCTCTCCAATTTTCCATACCCTTTCTGTAGTGGGCGGCCCACAACTGGACACAGGACTCCAGATGTGGCCTCACCAGTGCTGAATAGAGGGAACAATCACTTCCGTAGCCCTACTGGCAACACACCTACCAGTGCAGCCCAGTAGCCATTAACCTTCGTGGTGACAAGGGCACATTGCTGCCTCATATTCAGCTTATTATCCACTGTAACCCCCAGGTCCTTTTCTGCAGAGCTGCTGCATAGCTAGTCAGCCCCCAGCCTGTACTGATGCATGCGACTGTTCCCCCCTAAGTGCGGGACTTTGCATTTGTCCTTGTTGAACCTCATGAGATTTCTTTTGGCCCAATCCTCCAATTTATCTAGGTCACTCTGAATCCTAGCCCTACTCTCCAGAGTATCTACTACTCCCCCCAGCTTGATGTCATCTGCAAACTTGCTGAGGGTGCACTTGATGCCATCTTCCAGGTCACTGATGAAGACACTGAACAAAACCAGCCCCAGGATTGACCCCTGGGGCACTCCATTTGATACCGGCTGCCAACTAGACATCAAGCCACTCTCTGAGCCCAATGCTCCAGCCAGTTTTCTATCCATCTTACAGTTCATTCATCCAGTCCGTACTTCCTTAGCTGCCTCTGAGGATGCTGTGAGAGACTGTATCAACAGCCTTGCTGAAAAAAAGGCTTGTTCCATTTAAACACAGGAGACCCTCCAGAGACAGCTAATCACAGGCCATGACGCACCCAACACCTGGCCTTTCCTGCCTGCACTATGCCCATCAAAAATAGCCCTGTACAACTGCCCCAAAACGGCATCCAGCCTTGCAGAAACCTCCAACCCCACACATTTCAGCTCTCCCCACCTACCCCCTGTGAAGACAAACCCTGCCCTGTCCCGAATACAACAAGCAGGGGGTCAAGTGATAACCAAGGAGAGCGCCCAGCCAACAGCGGCTTCTCAAACAACCCGGCGGAGAGTCATGCTGCACCTGCAGCAAACAACCATAGGAAAATACTGAAAGGAGGGAACCAGTATTGAAACCCTGCTGGCCTCCAGGCCACTAGCTGCTGACAAACTTAGCCATAAAGGCGTCCTGCACACAGGATCCAAGTGAAAGCAAGTAGGGTAGGTCTGGCTGTTGAAATCTGACCCAAAACCCAGAGAAGAGGATTAAGCTTTGGGGCTTTACAGCTTGGCTTTGCAGTTCCCTGCATTAGTTGGAGGGACAGATTGTATTTACCCACCAAGCCTGTTCCTCCTCCATGCACCGCAGCCCTCTCGCAAGACGGGCAGCGTTTATGCTTCAAGCCTTGTTGCAATGAGCTCCTTCTCAGAGGTTTCTCTCGGCTGATCGGAGCTTGTTATTGCTTCGGGGACAAGTGCTTGATGACAATCGGCTCCTCTTGCCTATTGCTGGGACTCCTGTTCCCGACCTCTGCAACTAGGAGGGAGGGAAGCTTTGTAGTGAAATATTAGCAAGTGTTGCCCTGGCAACTGCCCAGATGAAGCCTGCTTATTTTCACCAAGTTCCTCTCAGCGTGACTAATACCTCCTGAGCTATAGTTACACCGCTCTGAGCGTCCTGAATGCATGACCAGGCCAACACAGCAAACAAACTCACGTTCCCTTTACACAGTTATGGCTTAATTTGATCAGCTCACGGACCGACCGAGTGAAGAACTTGGAGAGGTTTTTGCTTTGTGCCCACTGGCTGTTTGCTTTCACCTCGCATACCTCAGTCGTACATGCTAATATTTTCCAATCTATATTTCCTGGTTGCATACAGAGAAAGGCCGCCTCACAGCCGAGTGCAAGCTCCAGCCATCTGTTAAAAGGGATTTGGCAACACTTTCTTTCCCCCTATTAACCACATCAGTGAAAGTAACAGGTGGGAAATGCCAAGGGCCCTTATGTAATGCCAAGTGAAGGGCCCTGCGCGCCCAGAGCTCGCCAGCTTTTTCCTGCCAGAATCCAGACTGCATTTTTGAGTGACTGGATTAACAGCGAGTCTGAAGGACGATGGTAAAACAGGAGGAACGCAGAGCTCAAACCAAAGGAAAGAGATAGGTGTAGATCGCATACTGACCTTAATGCCATGCTTAGTAGGATCACTGCGTTTTCTTAACCTGTGTGGTGATCAATTAGCCAGCATCCACACAGGTGGGCATGTGTCTGCCTATGCCCTTTGTGACAGAAGCTGAACAAAGGGTCAGATCCTATTCCAGCCTCCTTGAGTCCCTAAAAACCTGGTTATACAAAAGATGGGTGGGTTCTCCTCCTCCTCACTGCCTTTTTGCTATTTGGACTAGGTTAACACTTTGGCAACTAGCAGGTGGAAAAGGATCAGGAACCAAGAGTGAAGCCCAAGGAGCAGCAGGGTCCCAAACCTATGGGACAAGAGCCCTGGGCAATGTCTGCAGATGCCAATGAAATGAATCAGCTGTGCCAAGACACAAACCATCACAGCTGAACCTGCTCCAAACAAGGCATCTGTTTACAGAGCTGAGGCCAAGTAGCTCAGAAAACAAGCCCTTCATGTTCCCAATGTCACATCATCCTCATTCAGATTTAAGCAGGCACCTCTGGGCTTTTGAGCTCTGGACAGGAACAGGAGCCGATGCTTTTGAAGGAAATAGTTTTATGAGTTTCCAGGAAGTTAAAAATACACATTAATACCCAGCGCTGCCAGTATTTCCATACGTGCAGGCACCACACCATGCACCTCGCTTGGGGGGAAGGGCCATAAACCACATGCTACTTAAGGGTAGCAGGAATGAGAAAGCAGTCTCTATTTCCTATTACCCTTAAGCAGCATGTGGTTTTTGGTCCTTCCCCCCCAACTGAGGTGCATGGCGTGGCACATACATACTGGCGGCTCTGGGCAACAACATGTATTTTGAACTTCTTGGAAACTCATAACATTATTTCAAAAGCGTTGGTTCATAATTCATATTCTCGTTTCTGTGCAGGAGGCAACCCTGCAACTGCAGGGGTTCCCTATCCTCACCTGCAGATGCGTGCTTTTCGTCAGGGCCAGACACCTGGGGCCATTGTCCCAAAGACGGGGCCACTGAAGCCCCGGCAGCACCTGCCCGGGGCAGCTAGAGACTACAGGCAGCCCCACACCACCTGCACTCTTGCACCATAAGCAAACAGATGTCCACCTTGCGAATGTGACACAAACTATCACTACACATTGTCGTAGCCGCAATTTTTGGCATTCATAGTATAACAAGGGGCACAGACATCTGTTCACTTGGGTTTTGTGCGGCCATAAGAACATCTATGGCAGCACGAGGGAGGCATCTGTTCACAGCCTAAGGCAAGCTCTGTAAAAGGGCACTTGCATATCTTGGGTAGGTGCATGTGTGCGCCAACATCCAAATGAGATCCAGGCTAATGCCAGTGCAATTACATTACTGTGGTTAGAAAAACAACTTGGCAGCAAGGCACAGTCAACTATTATCAACTGGAGCAAGGCACAGCCAACTACAGCAAGGTAATGGGCAGAAGTCAGCTATTCTGTGCTATGATACCCCTAAAGCCTGTGAAGTGACACTAGTGAGGAGCTTGACCTTAGGCTCTGGAGGAGATGTAATCTTTAAGCACATATGTCCATCCCTTAGAAACCAGCCTCCACTTGCAT